TCCGGCGCTTTGCTGGTCTTAACAGGCACTATGCCGCCGGCTGACCAGGAACTAAGTTGACGCGCCGTTGATCCGCTAGATTTGGTTGGATGCTGGTGGTGAGTTGCCGAACCCAACGAATACACTCTGAAGTCGGATGGGGTGAATGGCTTAGGGTGCCCCTCTAGCAGGGGAGAGCAGGGAATTGCCTCGGGTAAGAGGCCACTGGTGAAGCTTAACCACCCTGTAACAACATCAACTAAACTCGTCAAAACGGACGTTGGAGACCACGGCAAACTCGTCAAAGCGGACGTTGGGGACCACGGCGATGATGCCGTCCTTGTACATCACACGATGCTGTCCTCCATTCCCATATTCGACAAGGATCCCTTAGATGCTTACTCATTCCCATATTCGACCAGGATCCCTGAGACGCTTACTGTTGTAAGCTACAAACGCAACCTGCCTCGGGAAAACTGATCCCTTGCTAGACCCACCGGGCCCTGGCTTGCTGCAATAGCCGACTGTAATTGCTTGCAGGCGTCCTATGCCTTCTTCACGCTAGCTATGTAAGCTACTAGCGTTAACCGGGGCTCATAACCTGTTAAGAATATGAAGGCAAGGAGACTGACTGGTCGCGACATAAGGGTTACAGTCTGTGGGTTAGTGGTGAACGGCAAGAAGACTTTAGAAGATTCCTATGAAGGAATACCGATCCATCCGAAGATGAGATACCAAGACTTGCATAACTTGCGTCTTATATACCAGTACCAATGGAAGTATCGTACAGTCGTCCACCAGCCCTGGATCTGAGTGTTGGAAATGACCGACACTCATATACCAGTGAATAGTAGCCACAGTAATAGGACCCAACGGGGGTCCGGCGCTTTGCTGGTCTTAACAGGTTATGAGCCCCGATTAGCGCCGACAGTTATCGCCCAATTGTTATTTCTATCCCTCATCAACAATGGTTAAGGACAAGCTTGATGAGTCGCTGGATCTCAACAACTACTCTACCTGGCAAATTCGGTTCAGCGCGTTGTGCATGGAGCTTGGGCTTGAGCAATCCCTGCTCGCCGAGCCGTGCAACGAGGAGCAAATTCGACAGTCACGGAAGGTCATCAATCTGCTCATCAAGAACGTCAAGGATCATCATTTGCCGATGGTTACCGGTGCTGCCAACGCGAAGAAGGCCTGGGACGCCTTGGGATCTATGTTTGCTGCCAACAACAACGCCCGCAAGGTGTCTCTACGTCAAGAATTCAGCCGTTTTAAGATGGTCGACGGCGAACCTCTTCCGATGTACTTTGCGCGTGCAAGGCAGCTGCAAACAGATTTATCTGGTCTGGGTTGACACTACTGCGATTCGCGGTTTAAGGTCCTGGGTTCGATTCCTGGGGAGACCCCCGAATTAGTCGGGAGCGCGAGATTATGGCTAGCTGCTTAGATGTGGAGTTGAGGTCGCAGTTGATGGACCAGATTCGCACGCTAGATTGGTGGCGATTGCCGAACCCTCCGTCTCTTCGGTTGTTCGGGTGAATGGATGAGGAGGGGTCCTAGACGGCTGGACCCGCCGCCTTGGACTTACAGTTCGTATGGCGAAGTATAGTGTGGTAGTGGTGGACGGTGCTATAAGATGATAAATCGTAGAACTGAGAATGTGATATAGCGGCCCAGAAGCCTCCCACTCTGTAACATTACAGATTTATTGGGAGTCGGCCACGTAGTTAACGACTCCGAGCTGGCGTACACCGTGCTAGTTGGTCTACCCAGTCGGTACAGCGTGGTGACGACTACATTACTGATGCGCGACGGCGATTTGGACATGGCGAGCGTCACAGCAAAGCTTCTCTCTATCGAGACGGCTAACGGTGGGTCGGGCAAGCCTACCGAGTCGGCAGCCTTCGCGTCTGTCGGCGGTTCGACGTTCGGCGCTTCTACTTCTGGTTATGGTAGCCGGGGGCCGGCTAACAACAGCTCGGGACATAGTCGGAAGCAAGTCATCTGCTACTACTGTAATAAACCTGGGCTATGGTTAAGGACTGCAGGCAGCTTAAGGCGCTGAAGCAGTCGTCAAATTCTGGCTACAAGGGTGGCTACAGCAACAGTGGTAACGGAGGTAGTGTCAGCGGAGCTAGCGGCAGCAAGCCAGGATCCGGTGGATCAGCTAGGGGACCGGGAGTTCCGCGGCAGGTAGCATTCGTGGCATACAACAGCAATCGTCCGACGGAATAGTTTCTGGACTCAGCCGCCACTCACCACATAACGTATGACCGCTCAGAACTTTCCAACGTGCGGTTATTGGAGCCATGGGAGCGCTTCAACATCATGGGCATCAAGGGACAGTCTCTTCGGCCGACTGAAGTTGGCACGCTTACGATTCGGTCTAACGTCAACGATAAACAGGCCATCACTTTCAAGAAGGTCTATGTCGACGAGGAGGCCACCGCCAAAATCATATCGGTACGCATCATTGATGATCGTGGAGGCAGTGTGGTCTTCGGCGGCGGACAGGCGAAAGTATACGTACAGAACCAGTTGGTGCTGACTGGAAACCGGGATGGGGACTTGTATCCCGTCTGTTACAGCAGTGGAGGTACGGGAGCTCTGAAGAGGACGCAGCGTGAAGACAACAGGATACCTTCTGGTGGTGATGCAGTGTGTGCTGCCGTGGGTATCGGAGCTGAACGTGCAGCACTTTGGCACCGAAGGTATGGCCACTTGGGATACAGCAACCTTGAGACGTTGCTGCGTCATAATATGGTAGCTGGATTTGATGTTGACCGACACAGCATACAATCAGCCAGCACGTGTGTGTGTGAGACTTGCGTCCTTGCTAAACATACACGTGGTCCTTTTCCGTTATCTGGGCATAAGGCAGCGCAGCCTCTCGCGCTCATTCACATGGATGTGTGTGGGCCTATGCCTGAACCTTCGCCTAGTGGTTCGCGTTACGTGACAACCCTGCTTGACGACCATACTGGTCTTTCAGCTGTTGCGTTTACAGCGACCAAGGAGGAGGTCTACCAGAAGATGGTGGTAATGATAGCGGAACTGGAGCGCGCTACTGGCAGGCAGGTTAAGGAGGTGCGTACAGATCGTGGCGGGGAGTTCGTTAATACTCGCACGAAGGCCTATTTCGCTTCCAGGGGTATTCTACACGGAACTACGGTAGGCTACACTCCTGAGCAGAACGGAGCTGCAGAACGTTTAAATCGCACTCTTTTGGACAAAACTAGGGCTATGCTAGTTGAGTCTGGACTGCCTAAATCATTATGGGCGGAGGCGTTAGCGACAGCCAACTATCTTAGGAATGTGTCGCCAACTGCTGGGTCAACCGTCACTCCGTACGAAGCTTTCTTTAACGTTCGTCCGAACGTCAGTCACCTGCGAGTCTTTGGATGCGTTGCCTACGTCCACGTACCCGACGTCAAGCGCGACAAGTTCGACCCGGTGAGCAGGCGTGGAATACTTGTCGGATACGGGAACGGTGGACAGTATCGTGTACTGTACGAGGACGGCATTATTGCCGTAGTATCTAACGTCCGCTTTGATGAGTCTAATGTCGGCCGGCGGCGTAATGCCGGGGACTCCGATTATGAGTCCGATGCCGACGAGGAGGAGGAGTTTCGCACTAGTTTATCTGGTGAGGGATCGCTGCCTAGGGCTGGCGAAGGGACAACAGGTAGCACCGTCGGCGAGGGATCGCCGCACTTGGGTGGCGAGGGGGCGCCGGCTGGGGCTGGACCTTCCAGCAGTGCGAACGGGCAAGGAATCAATCAGCCTGATGTGGAAATGGCGGGAACTAGGTACCCAGTTAGAGAGCGTAAACGCCCTGGCGAATGGTGGCGAAACGAACCTGGTCGCACTGTCACTGGTCGCGTTAACGCTGCTTTCTCTGCTGGTATTCCTGAGCCTACTTCGTTTGAGGAAGCAATTCCAAGTCCACATGCAGACGACTGGCGGCGTGCGATGGACGAGGAGATCGCCGCCCAGATGGCTAATAGTACTTGGGAGCTGAAGAAGCCACCTCCTGGTACTCGTTTGTTGCCGTGTCGTTAGGTATATAAGGTTAAGTACAGCGATGACGGCAGCGTGGAGCGTTTTAAGGCGCGTTTAGTTGCCAAGGGTTTCGAGCAACGTGAGGGGATTGATTATGGGGAGTTGTTTGCCCCTACCTCTCGTGGTTCGTCATTGCGTGCTTTATTAGCAGTTGCCGCAGCCCGGAACATGACGGTACATCAGCTCGATGTGTCTACTGCGTTTCTGAAGGAGGAGTTGTGGATGGAGCAACCGCCTGGGTATGCATCCAGTGACCGGTCGCTTGCGTGCAAGCTGCAGAAGTCTATTTACGGGTTGAAGCAGGCACCCCGTTGCTGGTATGAAAAACTATCAGCAGAGTTCGCCAAACTAGGTCTTTATCCTTCGAAGTCTGATCCGGCGATGTTTGTTAAGACGGACGAGCGTGGGGTTGTTATTGCTTTGGTGCACGGAGATGATACAATTGTTGCGTCGGAAGACCCGAAAATGGTCCGGGCAATTAAAGCCGCAATTGCGAAGGTCTTCAAGGTGCGCGACCTTGGAGAAGCGAAGGTGTTTTTGGGCATGGAAATTAGGAGGGAGAAGTCGGGTGAGATAGTGTTGTCGCAGCATAGGTATATTGCGCAGCTGTTGGAGCGTCATAGGATGATTGACGCCAAGCCGAGGTCTACCCCTTTGCCTCCGGGCTTTAGGTACACTCCTAAGGGGGACGGAGAGGAGCTGCTGGGCAATCCCACCGAGTATAGGGCTTTGGTGGGAGAATTGAACTATCTGGCGACGAACACGCGGCCTGACATTTCATATGCATTGAGCGTTTTGTCCCGGCATATGGCCGCACCCACGAAGACTGCCATGAACTTGGCCACTGGCGTTCTGCGTTACCTGGCGGGTACTCGCGAACTAGGATTGCGTTTTGGGGGTGTTGGCGACGTTGCTATGTCCGGGTACAGTGATTCGGACTGGGCAGGAGACCCAGTTACGCGGCGTTCTACGTCCGGTTACGTATTCACTCTTAATGGGGCTGCGATTAGCTGGAGCAGCCAACTTCAACGTACTGTGGCGGCTTCGTCGGTGGAGGCTGAGTACCAAGCTACAGCGGCGGCTGTTCGTGAGGCTTTGTGGCTTCGCAAGCTGATGGTTGATTTGAGCTTGCCTGAGAGCGCGGTGAAAATCCAGATAGACTCCCAGGGGGCGCTTAGCTTGGGAAACAACCCGATTACGTCTGCTCGGTCGAAGCACATCGACGTGCAGCATCACATAGTGCGTGAGAGGGTGAATAGCGGTGAGGTGCAGTTGGAATACTGCCCTACGGAGTGGATGGTTGCGGATGTGCTAACGAAGGCTCTGGGCGAGGTGAAGTTCAAACGTTGCCGAGATGCTATGGGCCTTGTGTGAAGTGTGCAGATGAACTTGGTACTCGTTGGGATACGGCCCGAGGGGGCGTGTTGAGGAAACGGTCCTCTCCCAACTCGTGTGGTTGTCGACCAGGGGATTTGACCCCGGGTCTGCGCCTGCCTAATGGGGAAGACTTACCCCAGAACCTTATGGGGCTACCGATGCATATCCGGTAGCTAAGTGATAGACATTAGGGCACCGTCTGGACTGCGCAGTGAGATCGCGGAATGTACGTGCAGTTAGATCGCGGAATGTACGAGTTTTCCGCTAGCGCCGGTATTTAGGGCGGTGACTGCGCCTATTAGTTTATCTCACAACGATCGGTATTCCTCAAAGGAATCTCCTCAAGTCCTGCCGAACGCTAATAATACTCTTTACATTACTTGTAACAGTTTATCGTGCTAAATATCTTCGCCGCCGGCAATTCTTCCGAGATAACAATCAGCGTTAGCCGTCACCGTCACCAATTCTTCAACAGGTTATGAGCCCCGAATGGCGCATTGCGCTGCCGAGAGGTCTCCGGATCGATACTCACTGGCTGTTGCCCAGAGAATGGGAGACCGGGATGAGGCACGGGAAGGCCCGGAGCGAGAGAGTGTCGATCACGGGGGGGTGTTGGAAATGACCGACACTCATATACCAGTGAATGGTAGCCACAATAATAGGACCCAACGGGGGTCCGGCGCTTTGCTGGTCTTAACTGGTTATGAGCCCCGAATGGCGCATTGCGCTGCCGAGAGGTCGCCGGATCGATACCCACTGGCTGTTGCCCAGAGAAAGGGGGACCGGGATGAGGCACGGGAAGGCCCGTAGCGAGAGAGTGTCGCTCACGGGGGGGTGTTGGAAATGACCGACACTCATATACCAGTGAATGGTAGCCACAGTAATAGGACCCAACGGGGGTCCGGCGCTTTGCTGGTCTTAACACTGAGGACATGTCTGAGATACGCGGCCCAGAGACCCGAGGCAAGGTTGAGGCACGGCCGAGGCATCGCCGAACTACCACCTATCTACATTGGGATAGGACCGCCCTTCAACAAGTAGACACACCGAGCTGGTGCACCGTCATGTTCCGTGCTGCTAACACGTAAAGATGAACCACGAAAGGTAGGGGCAAACAACTCCCCATAATCAATCCCCTCGTGTTGTTCGAAACCCTTTGCAACTAAACGCGCCTTGAAACGCTCTACATTACCGTCTGCATCATGCTTCACCTTATACACCCACCGACAAGGCAGTAAACGTGTACCAGGCGGCGGCTTCTTAAGCTCCCAGGTATGGTTGGCCATCTAAGCGGCGATCTCCTCATCCATCGCACGCCGCCAGTCGTCTGCATGTGGTCTTGCAATGGGTTCCGCAAACGAATTAGGTTCAGGAATACCAGCAGAGAAAGAAGCGTTAACGCGACGTGACGCGAAGTGACGCGACATGACGCGACGTGACGTGAAGTGACAGTGCGACCAAGTTCGTTTCACCACCATTCGCCAGGGTGTTTACGTTCTCTAACTGGATACCGGGTCCCTGCCATTTCCACATCAGGCTGATTGTTACCTTGCACGTTCACACTGCTGGATGGTCCAGCCCCAGCCGGCGCCCCCTCGCCACCCAAGTGCGGCAATCCCTCACCGACGGTGCTACCTGGTATCCCTTCGCCAGCCCTAGGCAGCGATACCAGGCAGGCTAGTGCGAAAATCCTCCTCGTCGGCATCGGACTCATAATCGGAGTCCCCGGCATAATGCCGCCGGCCGACGTTAGACTCTGGTGAGGAAACGGTCCTCTCCCAACTCGTGGGGTTGTCGACCAGCGGATTTTACCCCGGGTCTGTGACTAACTATTGGGGAAGACTTACCCCATAACTGTTTGGGGCTACCGATGCATATCCGGTAGCTAAGTGATAGACATTTGGGCACCGTCAGTACAGCGCAGTGAGATCGCGGAATGTACGTGCAGTTAGATCGCGGAATGTACGAGTTTTCCGCTAGCGCCGGTATTAAGGGCGGTGACTACGCTTATTTTTTTTTCTTTTTACAGGGTGGTTACGCTTCACCAGTGGCCTCCTTCCCTAGGCAATTCCCTGCTCTCCCCTGCTAGAGGGGCACCCTAAGCCATTCACCCCATCCGACTTCTGAGAGTATTCGTTGGGTTCGGCAACTCACCACCAGCATCCAACCAAATCTAGCGGATCAACGGCGCGTCAACTTAGTTCCTGGTCAGCTCGCGAGTTGATTTTTTCACGTCCTACACCGTCCACAAGATGGGGGGCCACCTCCCATTTCATCACCTCTCAAACACCCCCAGAGGTCGGCAGGCGGATTTGAACCCGGATGCGCCGGGACGCGACGGGAGCAGAAGCCAGGCCTTAACCTCTGCCAGCCGCCTGCCTTATATGTTTATCTCACAACGATCGGTATTCCTACCAGGTGTTGAAGGCCGGTCCTATCCCAACGTAGATAGGTGGTAGTTAGGTGATGAATCCGCCGTGATAGGCGATGCCTCGGCCGTGCCTCGACCTTGCCTCGGCCGTGCCTCGACCTTGCCTCGGCCGTGCCTCGACCTTGCCTCGGCCATGCCTCGACCTTGCCTCGGGTCTCGGCCGCGTATCTCGGACGTTTCCCCGTGTCCAGCGTTGATGGTGGGCGACTGTACGATACTTCCATTGGTACTAGTATATAAGACAAAAGTTATGCAAGTCTTAGTATCTCATCTTCTGATGGATCGGTATTCCTTAACAGGAATCTCCTAAAGTCTTCTTGCCGTTCACCAGTAACCCACAGACTGTAACCCTTATATCGCGACCAGTGTCCTTGCCTCCTTCATATTCTTAACAGGTTATGAGCCCCGGCTCACGCTAGTAGCTTACATAGCTAACGCGAAGAAGGCATAGGACGCCTGCAAGCAACTACAGTCGGACTTGTTTGGGAGTAGGACACGTTATCAGCGATTCTGAGCGGGCACACACTTTGCTTGTTGGTTTGCCCAGCCGCTTCAGCATGGTAACGACATCCCTACTGGTGCGTGACGGCGATTCGGACATGACTATCGTCACCTCGAAGTTCTTGACTATCGAGATGGCAAGCGGTGGCTCTGGTAAGCCTACCGAGTCGGCAGCTATTGCTTCTGTCGGCAGTGTTTTGTTTGTCGCCTCTGGTTCTGGTCTTGGGAATCGTGGCGCGGCCAGCAGCAGTTCTGGCGTTCCTCTCCAAGAGGTGATTTGCTTCTATTGCAGCAAGCCTGGGCCCGGTGGGTCTAGCAAGGGATCAGTTTTCCCGAGGCAGGTTGTATTGAAGAATTGGCGACGGTGACGGCTAACGCTGATTGTTATTCCGGAAGGATTGCCGGTGGCGAAGATATTTAGCACGATAAACTGTTACAAGTAATGTAAAGAGTATTATTAGCGTTCGGCAGGACTTGAGGAGATTCCTGGTAGGAATACCGATCGTTGTGAGATAAACTAATAGGCGCAGTCACCGCCCTAAATACCGGCGCTAGCGGAAAACTCGTACATTCCGCGATCTAACTGCACGTACATTCCGCGATCTCACTGCGCCGACCAGACGGTGCCCTAATGTCTATCACTTAGCTACCGGATATGCATCGGTAGCCCCATAAGGTTCTGGGGTAAGTCTTCCCCATTAGGCAGGCGCAGACCCGGGGTCAAATCCCCTGGTCGACAACCACACGAGTTGGGAGAGGACCGTTTCCTCAACACGCCCCCTCGGGCCGTATCCCAACGAGTACCAAGTTCATCTGCACACTTCACACAAGGCCCATAGCATCTCGGCAACGTTTGAACTTCACCTCGCCCAGAGCCTTCGTTAGCACATCCGCAACCATCCATTCCGTAGGGCAGTATTCCAACTGCACCTCACCGCTATTCACCCTCTCACGCACTATGTGATGCTGCACGTCGATGTGCTTCGACCGAGCAGACGTAATCGGGTTGTTTCCCAAGCTAAGCGCCCCCTGGGAGTCTATCTGGATTTTCACCGCGCTCTCAGGCAAGCTCAAATCAACCATCAGCTTGCGAAGCCACAAAGCCTCACGAACAGCCGCCGCTGTAGCTTGGTATTCAGCCTCCACCGACGAAGCCGCCACAGTACGTTGAAGTTGGCTGCTCCAGCTAATCGCAGCCCCATTAAGAGTGAATACGTAACCGGACGTAGAACGCCGCGTAACTGGGTCTCCTGCCCAGTCCGAATCACTGTACCCGGACATAGCAACGTCGCCAACACCCCCAAAACGCAATCCTAGTTCGCGAGTACCCGCCAGGTAACGCAGAACGCCAGTGGCCAAGTTCATGGCAGTCTTCGTAGGTGTGGCCATATGCTGGGACAAAACACTCAATGCATAAGAAATGTCAGGCCGCGTGTTCGTCGCCAGATAGTTCAATTCTCCCACCAAAGCCCTATACTCCGTGGGATTGCCCAGCAGCTCCTCTCCTTCTACCTTAGGAGTGTACCTAAAGCCCGGAGGCAAAGGGGTAGACCTCGGCTTGGCGTCAACCAACTTATGACGCTCCAATAGCTGCGCAATATACCTATGCTGCGACAACACTATCTCACCCGACTTCTCCCTCCTAATTTCCATGCCCAAAAACACCTTCGCTTCTCCAAGGTCTCGCACCTTGAAGACCTTCGCAATTGCGGCTTTAATTGCCCGGACCATTTCCGGGTCTTCTGACGCAACAATTGTATCATCTACGTGTACCAAAGCAATAACAACCCCACGCTCGTCAGTCTTAACGAACATCGCCGGATCAGACTTCGAAGGATAAAGACCCAGCTTGGCGAACTCTGCTGATAGTTTTTCATACCAGCAACGGGGTGCCTGCTTTAAACCGTAAATAGACTTCTGCAGCTTGCACGCAAGCGACCGGTCACTGGATGCATACCCAGGCGGTTGCTCCATCCACAATTCCTCCTTCAGCTCACCGTTCAAAAACGCAGTAGACACATCGAGCTGATGTACCGTCATGTTCCGGGCTGCGGCAACTGCTAATAAAGCACGCAATGACGAACCACGAGAGGTAGGGGCAAACAACTCCCCATAATCAATCCCCTCACGTTGCTCGAAACCCTTGGCAACTAAACGCGCCTTAAAACGCTCCACACTGCCGTCATCGCTGTACTTAACCTTATATACCCAACGACACGGCAACAAACGAGTACCAGGAGGTGGCTTCTTCGCTCCCAGTACTATTAGCCATCTGGGCGGCGATCTCCTCGTCCATCGCACGCCGCCAGTTGTCTGCATGTGGACTTGCAATTGCTTCCTCAAACGAATTAGGCTCAGGAATACCAGCAGAGAAAGCAGCGTTAACGCGACCAGTGACAGTGCGACCAGGTTCGTTTCGCCACCATTCGCCAGGGCGTTTACGCTCTCTAACTGGGTACCTAGTTCCCGCCATTTCCACATCAGGCTGATTGATTCCTTGCCCGTTCGCACTGCTGGAAGGTCCAGCCCCAGCCGGCGCCCCCTCGCCACCCAAATGCGGCGATCCCTCGCCGACGGTGCTACCTGGTGTCCCTTCGCCAGCCCTAGGCAGCGATCCCTCACCAGATAAACTAGTGTGAAACTCCTCCTCCTCGTCGGCATCGGACTCATAGTCGGAGTCCCCGGCATTACGCCGCCGGCCGACATTAGACTCGTCAAAACGAACGTTAGAAACTACGGCAATAATGCCGTCCTCGTATAGTACACGATACTGTCCACCGTTCCCGTATCCGACAAGTATTCCACGCCTGCTCACCGGGTCGAACTTGTCGCGCTTGACGTCGGGTACGTGGACGTAGGCAACGCATCCAAAGACTCGCAGGTGACTGACGTTCGGACGAACATTAAAGAAAGCTTCGTACGGATTGACGGTTGACCCAGCAGTTGGCGACACATTCCTAAGATAGTTGGCTGTCGCTAACGCCTCCGCCCATAATGATTTAGGCAGTCCAGACTCAACTAGCATAGCCCTAGTCTTGTCCAAAAGAGTGCGATTTAACGTTCTGCAGCTCCGTTCG